GTAATGTGTGCCGACTCTTTGCTTTGATATCAATGGTTTTATGTGTTTGTGTGTACAGCATTCAAAAATAACTTACAAAATTCGACTATTGTAACAAAGGTGATTTTATATGAAATGTGATAGCATTAAACCACTATGAACGTACTATGATCACTCTATATATAAAATTGCGTTAATAATTTTTATCAAAAATTCATATTAATATAAGCGTGAGAAAATAAGTGAATATTTCCAAAGGTTCACATTCGAAGACAGAAGTAAGTGCGAATTACAAATATATCCATCGTGTTATTTATTCCAAAATTCCAATTATTATGGCGAATATACTTAACGTACAAAATTTGATACACACATTCGTGACAATTATTCTCGTTAAGCAGGTAAAATAATAGTCAGGTTTAAAGTAGCCTTTCTGAACTCCTCACTGGATGGTGTTTCTCATAGAGAGTAAATCATCCATTTCCGCAGAAACTTAATTATCATTATTATAACTTCTGCTTCCGCGTGGAACAAAGGGCTTCAGCAGCATATCTCCATTATGGATAAAATTTTCTTTTGATAAATCGCACAGTTTTGTACAGTAATATTTACTGCCATTAGTGAATATAACTGTACAACACCGTGTGATTTATCAAAATGAAATTTTATCCATATTGGAGTCATACTATACTGCCGTGCCCACGGTTGATACTTCTATCAGCAGATCTCCATTTCATTCCTCTTATCTCCTCCACATCACAAAATCGCCTTCGATGTCAACCTCGAATTCATGTCCAACTCACTGGTTCCTATTCAGGTTCCATTCAAGCGATAGACGGTAGTTTGACACCTCAGTCATGACTTGAGTGTATTCAAAGCGGATATAAGGTTGTATTCACGTCACTTACTTGATTGAGGTATATCCCTCCATAAGAAAAATTGGTATCTTCCTCTTGAAATTGATAAAGAATTGTGAATCTAGTAACTAGTAAAATTATTAAGTATTAATATTCAAAATACTATAGCTTTTGTATTTGTGAAAATCCACAACTAGGATCGTATAAGATTTCTGGTCTAATTTCAGAGAATAAAATCATGTCAATTTCTGAAGAATACTTAACCCTGTTCGAAGCGTCTAAGAATAAGCAACTACGACGAGATATCCCTTTCAGATATTATATCTGGGTAAGCATATCTTCTATGATTTGTTAAAGAGATTATTTCGTATTCCTAGATTTTATTAGATGCCGTTTTTATGATACTGACGACTACAGCTGTACTCGTCTTGTTTACCAAATTGTAGGATCGAATTATCATTGTGAATACTTAATATTATGTTGATTTGCAGGCAACTAATTTCCAGTTTCTTTAGGCATCATTTCTATGTGACGTTTGTTATTGCGTAAGTTCTCTGCTCATTATTATATATTTATTCATTATTGAATTAACTCCCAATACAAATCACCAAACAGAATTCACTTATAATACATAGAATTGTAATGTTAATAGTTAAAACATTTCAGAGAAATTTCAAACAGTACTATAATGTTTGTTGAACTTCATAGAAAAGAAAGCCTCTGATAAAAGATTGAACTTATTATGCATAAGAGGAATACGATTTCAAAACGTCTTGTCCTAGATCTCAGTATTTCCCAGTTTCTTATATCAAGTGTTAACTTTAGGAAATATAATCGATGATCCGCTACTTATTTGAAATACACGATTGTTTTTCAAGGGTTAGCTTTCAGGGATTGCATCTGCTAAACGTTTTACCACGGATCAACATGAGTTAGAGAATCACTGACAGTCGAGGAGGATTAGACAGCTGGTTCATGCTGGTTCGGGGATCGTCATCGGTACACATTTACTAGGGTTCAAACCAAGGGACTTGCGAGTACGAGGCAGACTCGCAAGCTATTCAGCCACTGTGACCCGACTCAATGTCCACCCCAAGAATTCTAACTCCTACTGATCCATAAATTCACCAGACAGTGCCATGGGCAACTATTTGTTCTCACTGTTTATCGGGAGGACCTCACTAGTCACGACGTCTCACTAGGAATTCAGACAACTTGGTCGTGCAACCAGTCGGTAGGCAGCATAAGATGACTGGATTTGCAACAGTTATGGTTGTTGGCAACTGGTTTGATCAACATCAGTACTGAATTATTATTAGATATTACTTAACTAAGTAGGTTATTTAGTCTAAATAGTTTATAGGAGACTTAAGATTACAAAATTGATAGTCGTGAATACCATCCTAATTTTTATCATTTTTAGAATCTTAGTGTTCAGTGTAAGCATTCTTCATATAATGACCTTTTTTGTACAGGACTCCCATTAACATTCCATAGACCATCTCCACAGACAATAGTCAAGTGTGTCACTTGTATTGTTTGCTGGATAAGATAGACTATTGCTGCTGGTAAAGTATGCCGGAGTGTAAAACTAATTTCCTTAGGTTACTTTCACCAATATTGCGATAAGTGGTCTAAGTTCCATGTACCATTTTAATCAGAAGACCATTTTTATGTTCAGTAATCTACTAAATGCGTTCACTTTTCTTTCTAATCGGTTTTCAATATGTAGAGATTACTACTGTGAATTCGAGAGATATTATGTATGCGACCATTTAAAAGACACTAATGGCCTTTGACAAACTTCTCGACGTCTTCATTCTTGCGACTTTGCAGTCTTTACGGTATCACTACTGGTATGCTACATTATACCAGGCCTCGTTAAACGTAATATACCGAATCGCTGTCTTATTCAGTACACAACCTGACTAATAAGAACTGGCAACAAAACACAAATACAAAAGATTCCGTTATTCGCACATGTCTTATGATGACCGACGTATTCAAATAAAGCACCAACACTATTTTCTGCAGGATATGACGGTACCATCTTTGTTTATTTCGTTGAATTCTCATCCGTCGCTTACAGAAACTATTAACTTTGTGTACAGAATATTTTTTAATGTACTTTCAAATAATACATGATGTCAGTAAACAAGAGGACATAAACTTAGTAAACAGTGGGCACAAAATTACACCTTTATAGTTTATACCTGGAGAGTTCAATTTGAAACAAAATCTATTAACATTAAGAAGCGAAACGTCAGTAAAAACTATATTGTTCTTTTTTCCATTCATTGTGAACTACAAAGACTTTTATTATAATGAAAAATAAGTCTTTGTTTACAGTGATAAAAGAGTTACACACTAAATATAAGGGATGAGAAAGAAAACTAATAACTAATAAATCGTCGTGAGTTGAACTCATTAAACAGAAGGAAGAGTCAAACAAAGTTACACTTTATCAAAACGCAGAATAGCTGGAGCCGAATGATTTGCCATCAAATGAAATATAGAATAAAAGAGATCAAGTTACCAGAGCTAGAAAAGACTGACAACTGCTTCTTTGTGGAAACCTTGATCACTTATTAGGCATTTGACCGTGACTGTTTCAGTTAAAGTCAAGAGGACTGAACTATTTTTTTCCGTTGACAGTTTTACTATCGTCAGCGTCTGCACCTTTGAAACTCAGGAGTTTCGGTGCACGTTCAGAAAATTAAAGGTGCCATTTTTTCTGCCATATGAATGTTTTACCACCATCGATACATTTTAAATTTCTATACACATTTAGAGTTAGTTAGCGAGAAAGATTTGGGAACATATCTGAGTTGTTCGGTTGAACCATACATTGCCAAGATTCTAGTGTTATGAGCACAAAAGAGAGTGGAAAATGGTGAATGAGTGTGGTCGGATGCGCAGGTAATAAATTAAACTCAAAATACCAAAAGCATTCTCAATTATTGGTATATAGGTTAGTCTAACTTACTGGTGTCTGCAAATTCATTTCAGATTTGTCGGTGTCATTCTACCACTTCCAATAATAACTATGACAAACTTCTTGTCAAACGTCTTCTGTGTTCATTTGCTGCTCGGAAGTACAGTAAGTGTCAATTTAATTGTGTAACTATGTAGTTAAGTCGACTTTGCGCTTATTTTTACGAAAAAAAGGAAATGCTTAGCTATACCGTGTTGTGGAAATTTATCCGTATACAGTGTTCGACAGTCGACCTTACAGCAATTACATTTGAACCTATTTGAAACTGGTTATCTGGATATACTTGCATTCTCCAGTGAGTGATGGTGTTCCTAAATGGCTAGTGTCGATCACCCATGATTTTAAACGTCAAAGCACTGACCACTATACCTCCAAGTCCAAGAGGTTTACATCTTCGAAAAATGGACTACAGTTATTATCCGATTTTAGGACAATTGTAGTTTTTCTGTTGATTCATGGCACGGAAATGTCCGGTGTCTGTCAACATGTCGACACCTAGTACGTACGGTTCAAAGATAACTGAGGGTTAATTTGAAGTGATTTGATAAATAGTGATTAATAGTGGAACTCAGAGTTTGCTCATTTCATCGTATTTAGCACTGGCCAACTTGATTCACCTGCACTCCATATTGAGTGATTGTATTCCCAGTTAATCGACGGGAATATGATAATTAACTAAAGTACGAATTATTTATGCCTGTTTGAGAATTCAGCTTGATCTCGTCTTTTGTTCAAAACACACATCACTTACAACAACCCGTAATGCTTACTTGCTAGTAGCGTCTAAGTAACCTAAACAAGAGGCAGCTGTTCCGCTCATTTAAGATCGAGCTTATCGGCCGTGAATGAGAAACCAAAAATGTCACAAGATTGAACTATTTCAAGGTATTTTATTCTTCACGAAGCTTCCAGTTGTTAAACAGTTATTTTTTCGTCAATTTAACTCGTTGTAGGTTATACTGTGGTCTGTGAGCTTGGCTGCCGGCTTTGGATCTGTTGACATGTTCTATGGATTGATATCACTAATTTTGATAATTGTGATTACAATCACGAATGTGGGGTTGGCACTGAAATTTCCATCAATGGATGATAATCAGCTGGTTGTCTTTACTACAATATCATCTACCCTTTTAATTTTATCAACCATCTTAATAATATTTAATGCCACCATGCCACTAGATGTAAGTTTATCTGTAAATGCACCTGATTTACAAAACTCTGTTCGACCAATGGATTTCCTCGTTTTTCTATTGAATAGAATTCGGTATTGAAAGGCTAGAAACAATCGTTTGAAAGCAAATAAATTATGGATTCTAATAAATACTTTCCAACATCAACGACCAAATGGAACCTGTCATTCATCTTATTGTGCTTTGTAATATGTGGACATATAAACCCCTCATTGAAAACTGTGCATTCAGCCTTAGTGCGATAGAGAATTGGAAGATGTTGAATACGGACTGCATTAAATGTGATGCAGGAATAAAAATCAGCTGCTTATTTCAACGAGAATTCAGTGCCTTGTGTTGCGATTGGCAAATACTCAGGCTCTTGAGATAGTTATAGGCAACCTACTGACATTTAGTGGATTTGCTAGCAACTATAAGATATGTGGCTTCACCACTGAATGTTCATGAGTGAGTTATACGTGATTTATTGAGTTAGTTATTCATTAAATGAATGTTAACAGCATTCACACGCTTTAAACTATTGAAAATGGAGACATTTTGGTCCATTGTATCCAGCATTTATTAGTGATGACTGTGGTTCAAAATTAAAATTACTAGTACCAGCATGACTGTAAATCTCTTCCACTATATTAAAGGACGTTTGAGACTTTACGATAACTCTGAAGCTGCTAATTTTGAACCCAATCAATTGCGTACTGTTGAAGATTCTTAAACTGCGACAAAATTTCTTTTCAGTGCCCTTTAGTTTCTCCATGGTTCGCTAACCTGTAATTATGATACGTCAATATCAGTAATAAATTGAGTGTGATCACTTAGACAAAACGTGAGTATAATTACTGTCTAAACTTGCTATCTTTCTCTGTTTATTTTAGACACCGATCTTCAACATTGTTTCAGCAATTTTCTTTGGATTATTCCTAATATGCGTAAGTTTATCCGTGGGCTAAATTCGGTTATATTTTTACTTACACGATATCTGCAATAGTCAATAGTTCATTAATGAGGATTCGATTGGTTTCTAGTTTAACCGCAAATTGATAATGCGTTAGAGAACCAGTAAAACAAAGGATAATCGACAGCTGTTTCGTCTTAATTCAAGACACACGATTTAGTGTAAGTTCCAATTTAGTCGAGTCAATTGAATGGTTTACATCCTCACGTTGTCACCACCATTAAAAGAAAATTCCTTACAGTTTTCAACACTAATTTAAAATTTATGCTCATACATAGCCCAGAGACTTGATGTGACGTTTCACAAGAAGCTTTTTAACGGGCAACTAAAGAGTCATCAACAGTTACCCATTTTGTTCCATAATATGGAATAAATGGCCAGCCAGAACGGATAAGCAGCAAACAATTCTTGCGTCAAGGCAACGAGAAAATGGAGGTAAATCATACACACACACAAAAAGGACTCTTTAGTATCGTTGTGTGCCTTGAGACCATTCAAGTAGAATATCAATGGGAAGAAGCAAGTTGGGAAGTAGTCCAAGGGTGATACTCAGGAGATGGTGTGAAGTGGAGGAGATGCGAAATTATGGGAAATACTAAAGTTAGGTGAAGGTGACTATAAAGAACAGGGTAAACTGTAGATCAGCTGTTCGACTTGAAATCCAAAGGAATAATAATCATCGAGCTGCGACAAACCATCATACTGAAAAGTACTCATATATGAATCCGCATAAGTGGAAACGGCGCAAGCTATTCAAAACATAATTCTTTTGTAACCACAGCTTGTGATAACTATACAAGCAGTCAAGCAGAAAAATATGCATGAGAAATGACTTACCGTTTGATAATGAATCCGTAGATACCATAATGTTGGATTATTTCTTCAGGTTTTATTCTATAAATTAGAATATATATCACTGTAATGGACTCTCACAAATGTATTAACTGATTACTATTGAATATGAATTTCAGCTCATGTATTCTGTCTTTGCTTTTTCTCTTTGCATCACTAGCTAATATTTGGCTTTATGAACAACTTGGACCTGGTAGTATGGTGGTTTTCACCGTATCCATCGCAATTTGTTGAGGCTTTTATCCTTTGGTTACTAGTGTACTGCCTTTTCGTAATTGTATATACTACTTTAATGTTACCTAAGATATGGAACAAATAACAGTAATTATTTGTTTGTTTAATATGCTTGAGAGTGGTGTTAAACCTGGTGCTTCTTAATCATGATTTGATATTTATAATTTAACGGTGAAATAATGTTAATCATGTTCCTTTTCTGTGAAGTGAAATGTCTTTTTGCTTGCATAATAATTGCTATTCTGTTAAATAAAATAAAACACCCTAAACATTAACAATACACAAGTGAAGATGTAATCATTAAAGAGAATAAATTTGCATCTACACATATAGGATTGTTTTGCATTTATCACTGCTGAAATGAATGTTCATTGAAAGAGCCTATACACTTCAATACAATTGAGACTTCTCATGAGTTCAACAAATTTTTGGAAATCCTTTTTTGTCGACTGAGCTATGGATCAATTTCTACAGTAGACAAATGATCACCAGATATTTGCAGGACAGACTATCACTTTGAGCAAATTGCTCCTCTTCAGCTAGTTATATTCACGGCACAAGACTCATTTTCCATGAGCATCTCTAAAAATTACCCACCATAGTTAGCAAGAGGAGAGTTTAAGACAGATACTCGCTCAGACATTGAGGACTTGATGTACAGAAGCCATGGAGCTTCACCACATTCGTCTTTTGAGATTGGGTGGTAATGGTGTTATGTCTATGCCCAGTCTTCAAACATAAAGTGGATAGTATCATAATAGTAATGAATATAATAATAATATAAATATAAACATAACAACAATTCACACATATCAAGGTCGGAATGCAATGAGTGAATGATATTGACAAGAAGGATTTCCTCCATATACGTAACTAAATTTCTGAGTAGAATTCATCATGTCATACTCACAACTGACTTGTTCAAGCTTAAAAGCAGTATTTATTTTATGAAGAAATGGCATTAAGCGGTATCGAACATTGCTCAGTCAATATACTGTTGATAGGAATAAATGTTATTGCAACTGTGTTGAAGGGCTTATATTCAAATAAGATGAATTACAAGATTTTACAATGTTGCTACATTGGTGAATTAGCACAATGGCTCTGAAAATAGGTCTGCTATTATCAAACATCAAAATTGAAGTGATAGTAACAATGAAGAAATTGAAAAATTGGACTGCAATCAATTGAAGAAATAAAATTAAAAAAGTCTCGATGTATACACACTAATTTACAAGGAAAATAAACACAGTTTCTGTTCAGGGAAGAAATATCTCTTCTCGATGCCTTCATTTACAAACTCTACAGTAGTATTTACATAACGGAAAGATGGCATTAATTGACACTATAAATTCCTCAGTCGATAAACATTAAAGATAATTAAAATGACGTATTGAGAGGGTAGACGTGAACCGGATGAATAGTAAAAGTTTCAAAAATTATTGAATAATTGAATTGGTATATGGATTTTAAAAGTTGGTCTAGTATTGTCTATAAAAATTAAAAGTACGATGATGATAACTTTAGTAGTGGAGTGGAATGAATTCAAGACGTAAAATATAACAAAAGAAAAAGGAAAATATATATGACAAAGGTAAAGAAGAGGGTTTAACAAAACGTTTTGACTATGCAAAGCTAGTCCTTCAACTATGCATAAGAAGAGAAATCATAAGATTTTAGAACGGCTGGGTTTGGTCCAGTAACTTTGAAGGATGGGTCTGAATGACGTAACAGAGGAGACGTGAAATTTCGAGTGATTTCTAGCAAACAGATTCGAAACCTTGAAATGTTAATTATTATTGATTCTAAGAGATTTGTTGTATACAAAGATCTGGCTTTTCTGTTTCAATGGCCAAAACTTCAGCGATACAGATGAGTCGGATAGGTAGTTAGTTGGGCAAAGCACTTTTCCCCTTTTAGGAATCTTAAAGGATTGAGGCTGCAGAGTCGCGATAATCGTAATCGAGCAGATGTTCAGTGACCGCGCTTCCTAATGCCTCACTACCACCACTTATTAACTATGCATGATACTGTTCTTGTACCTTTTCGGAGAAAACCTAAGTCAAATGAACGATATGCCTAGCTGCACACGAGCGAGTGAATTATTAAACGCACATATAAATGGACAACTGGAGGATCTAGTCCTTCACGGTTTTGAAAAGTATTGGTCGACTAGAAAACGCTATTCTCAACAATCCCCCGGGCAATGTCTTTTTTAAGCACTGTTTAATCCTTGTTTTAATGATGCTGAATGGTAAGCTGCCTTTGAATTCGAAGCTAGTATACAGCGATTTCTTGATTACGGACTTAAGAACACGTTTTGTTGGTTTTAGCTATATGTTTTTTCTGCAAAACCTGGTGGAAATCAAATAAATTATAATTATATTTCAATAGTTCACGCACAGCCATAAGATTTTGCTTTTGGTAATTTTTCCACACTGCTGAAATTGTTTTACTAATATTTAGTGATGAAAATCTATTCTTCATTCAGATTTTAATAAAAAAAGATTTGATTATTCTCTCCTATCATCTGGACCTCAGAAGGGGGGTAGCAACTGATCGGATCAGGTTTCGATTTCCAGTGTCTACCCAGCTGTAGAAAACCGTCACTTTATATGCATATATATATTTGCATATGGAACATGCATCAATGGAACATTTTAAAACAGGGATTCTATATCTAAATATCACATATGTTTATTCTAAGGATTTTTATCCTGTATAAAATCGACATATTAAAAGGTGTCACGAAGGTATGAAAAGGTATTTCTCCCCTGACGGTTCCAGGGATTTCAGCTAACCATGGGAGTAAAAGGATTGCTTTGCGTAACTCACACAAAACACGTGAAACGTTACCTGATGAACATTCAAAGTTCGTATTTAACTACTTTTCAGGTGTTTCATCCCATTCGCAATTAGAAGCTCTATCCATGGGTCCAAAATTTTGCGAGGTCAACCTAAATGCCTACACACATCATACGCTTTGACAATCTGAACAATTAGTAACCTAAACTAATGATGTAACGCTAACGTCTGAACAGAAACTAAAGCGATTCAAATTAACAATAACCCATTGTTGTTATCAATATCTGAATACAAAACCAAAAGTCTACAACCACCAATTAAAGCAGCATAGAGAATAATTAAATCAACTGAGACACAACAAAGAACTTCTTATAACCCGTCTAGATAAAAGAGCTGGCAAAGTCCTCATACATTTAGTCCCATTGATTGATTTGAATAAAGCAATAACAACAGTGGTTTGTGCAGAATAATATGGTACCATCATTTATTTCGTAGACTTCTCATCAGCTGCTTACAGCCTAAATAAATTATAAGGTTTGCGTACAGAAAAGTTTTAACATACTTGCAAATTTTTACATGTTGTCAGTTGACAAAAGGTTCCACAGTAAGTGAAAAGTGCTCAGAAAATTGCGCTTATATAGTTTTTACACAGACAGTTCAAGTTTAAACAAAATAGATGTATGCATACAATGGTAAAAGAGTTACGTAATAAAGACGAAATATGAGTTAGATACAGAGTGACAAACAAATCAGGTAACAATGTACTGAGTTCAACTCAAATCATAGAAATAAGAGACAAGCAAAATTACAGAATATAAAAGGGGGTGAGGTAAAAGACAAAGATTACGTAATCAGATAAGAGAATAAAGAAATTCAGTTACCAGGGCAAAGAAAGATTAATAACTGCTTCTTTCTGAACACATAAATCTGGTTCCAAGCGTTTGATAAAGATTGCTTCGGCAAACTTGAGGAGAATGGAACTCCTTTGTCTATTGATAATTTTAAAGGATTTCTCGAATTCTAACTCATGACCCGTGTCGAGAAAATGTCTAGTAATAGCGCTGCTACAAGAGTTTGTTCCCTTGAGACGTAGGCTTTTTGTCTCATGTTCAGAAACTCGGAGGTGTGCCCTTCTTTCTGTTCTCCAAATGTAACTGCTCCCGTTATGTATGTCAGGTTCCCCGTACCATTCAGTAGCGAAACAGTTAGCTGATATTTTACAGTCTGTACGAAAACAGATATGCCACTTTTTCCTTAGGGACACTTTTCCGTTTGTCGACTATGTACAAAATATTGTTCATAATATAATTCAGATATTTGAACGCCAAGAGCAGAACGTAAATTTATTTTTAATTCTGTAGTAAAAGTTTCAGAATAATATTCAACATAAGATATCGGTAGGATACCGTTTGGTATCACAACACTCGTCGATTCCTTCTGACTACTTATTTTTACAATACTCATCAGTCAGCCCATAGTCAAAACGTTTGAACTATCGTCTCAGTGGTTTCAAGGAAAATATTTCTCAGAACACTTATGAAAAATACATTTTATGTTGAATGTTATTGTTAATAAATTAGAGGGACTTTGTTCAACTCTAATAACAATAAGTAGTGAAATAATGTTATTGTTTTCAAGTGATGAAAGGAAAAACATTCAGTTTTTTTTACTCTCTACTTATAAAACTCATGTGGCTTCACACTCTGAATGATTTAGAACTTTGTACTCTAAAAGTGTACAAAAAAATTATCAGTAAATGTTAGTTAATAGAATAGTGAATTATTATTGTAAATATCAACTTGAACAAATAATTCGTTTGTTATAGAGGAGATGCAAAGTCTAATAGTAAAATATCGGCATTTGAATAAACTTGATTGATGTGCACAAAAGTAGTTTTCATACTGACACAATAATAAATTTAATAAATTTAATTAATTAATTGACTAATTAAATTTAATAAATAATTTAAAATAAGGATTCAAGAAGGGCGTTTAAGGTTATCACAACAGATAAATAATATTTTAAATTACAAATATTGTTTAAATAAGGTTTGTTACATAAATGGGGAAATTCCGTGTAAAATGAATTACACAACCAGTAATATTAAGAAGTATGACAAGCTAAAGCATAAAATCACAGATCATTCGTCTGTCATACCACACTTCGTTGAATAAGGCTTAGTAGTCTGAAGTACCTGATCAAAGCCGAAAGTGACACAATATTATTTACTGATAACATTTTGAGCACAATACACTGATCATTGTCGCATCAAGGCATTGA